ATGGGGAGCCCAGGGCTGGGGTAGCAGGGGGCTGCGGGTCGGGATTGAGGGGCATCGCAGAGCTTTTCCAAATCCCTGTAGTCTTGTACAAGCCCCAGGCAAGTTCTCTGCAGCAGGATCTGTCTCTTAGCCCCTGGCATTATTAACCCTCCCTACCCGGGGATCGCTCCTTCCAGGTGGCCTGGAGACAGAGGGTGATTATAGCTACGAGGGCCACAAGCAGAGCTGCAGCTTCTCCACCACCAAGGTGGCCGTCTACATCAACAGCTCTGTGGAGATCTCCCGCGACGAGACCGGTGAGTCCGGGCTCCTCCTCCTGCCTCTGCCCTGCCTCCTCCTAACTCCAGTCACTGGGGCCTGATAGGGGGAGGGAGGGAGACTTGGAGCTGCCAGTGGAAAAGACCTGCCCTTCCACACAGCTGTGTGTGTTAGGGTAGATTGGGACCCTGTGTTGTGCCAGGCGCTGTCCAGAGCTCCCAGCCGAGATCTTCCCCCGCGTCATGCCAGGCGCTGCACAGACAGTCCCTGCCCTAAAGAGGGTGGGAGGAGAAAGGCAGGCACAGAGCGGGAAAGGGCCTTGCCCAGGGTCACGTCACGCAGCCTGTTGTGGGTCCAGCCCAGGTCTCCTGAGTCCCAGTCCAGTGCCCTTTCCACTAGACCACGCTGCTCCCCCATACCTGTCCCGGGCAGCGCAGCCACCACCAAGCCTCTGCTAGCTGAGATGCACGTGCCAGAGCCCCAGAGAGTCCTGGCTGCAAGGAGCACAGGGAACCTCATGAGCCATGTGAGGCCGAGACCCCTTGGAGGCTGCTGATGCCTGGCGGGTTGTGCCTGTCTGCCCCCTTCCCAGTCAGCCCTGCGATAGACCCAACGCCCTCCCCGCCACAGCCGAAACTCACCCATCCTGTCCGTTCCAGAGATCGCGGCGTGGCTGGCGAAGAACGGACCCATCTCCATCGCACTCAATGCTTTCGCCATGCAGGTGAGCTGACGCTTCGGGGCAGAGCCACCTGCTCCCATGTCCTTATAGACTGGGTGGGATTCCAGTGGAGTTCAGACTCGCTGGTTCATTACAGCCTGGTGTGGCGGGCGAGCGGGGATGCGGCGTGTGCCTCAGATAAAGAGCTGTGTGAAGGCCCTGAGGCTGCTGAGATGTCCTACCCTGGCCCTGGGGCTCTCAGAATGAGGGGTTAAAACCTGGGACCTGAGTTCTAGCCGAAGCCAGGTGGAATTGGGTCCAGTGGGATGCCAGAGAATGAGCTGCTGCTCAAATTCAGCAGGGGGGCTCTCCCTTTGCATTCAGTGCTGCCCCAATACCTAGGCTTGGCACTAGGTGGTGCTGTGATGCAGGGCAGGGGCTCAGTAAGGGGCACTTCCCATCCCAGAGACGGTCAGCACCGGGCAAGGGATCCCTGTATAAAGAGCCCTGTGCTCCACCCTAGGGGCAGCTGCATCTCGGTGGCATTGTAGGGACTTTGTGCAGTTAGCTGGCTTATGTTATGTTCCTCATCTCCCTCCCCTTCAGTTCTACAGGAGGGGGGTCTCCCACCCCTTCAGGCTCTTTTGCAACCCCTGGATGATTGATCATGCCGTGCTGCTGGTGGGGTATGGGACACGTAAGTGACGCTAGTCTGGAATCCACAGGAGGGCCTCCCACCTCTCGGGGACATCAATTCCCTAGGCTCCCTTAGACCTAATGAGCCACCTTGGGCACCATCCTGTTTCCCTCCAGGACTGGCCTTGCTGGCCCTTCCTCCATACTGTCCAGCCTAGAGGAGGTAGTTCTCATTGCCACCAGCATGTGTCACTGTTGAGCCAAGTCCCTGCTGCTCCCAGCCCCCTCTCATGGATTTGTAGTGACCAGGGACACAGAAAGGGGAGGTGGCTAGCTCAAAGGCATAGTGAGTCTGGCAGAATCAGAGAGAAACCCAGGTGTCCTGGCTCCCAGCTCTGCTCTAACCACTAGACCCTACTCCTCTCTCAGAGGTGGGGATAGAACCCAGGAGTCTGGGTACTACTATGACCAGTTTCTATCATCTACAGAATCCCTCTTGCTATAAAAGTGGAAGCTGACAGCAGGGGCTCAGGCAGTGCTGGCTAATGATGCAACACTCCCTGGCAGCCTGGGCTCTGCCCCAGCCATGTATCAGGAACTGTCCAGCCCCCTCCCCTCAAGCTTAGCCTTCATGATGGCCCTTTCTACCTTCCAGGTGACCGCACCCCCTTCTGGGCCATCAAAAACAGCTGGGGCAAGAACTGGGGCGAGCAGGTGAGTCCAGTGAGGAGCAGCTGGTGCCCATGCTGTGGGTGTGGGCTGGGATAGAGACTGCTCTGGCCACCTGGCTTTGTTCCTCTCCTCCCAATCCCTCTCCCCTGCACTGGCTGCCTGGCTTTCCCGTCCTTCCCCCAGCCCCATCTCCAGGGCGGGGAGGCCAGGCATCCTCCCAGCAGCAGCTCAAGCTGGCCTCTCTCTGTTTTCTCCCACGTTTCCAGCCTGGCCTAGTTCCCCAGTATTGTCCCTGGCAGCAGAGAGCCAGGGCTGGGCAGCAGGGGGTAGAAAAGGGGGTCTTCCATCAGGGCTGCTGGACACAAACCAATCCCTGTGGTTCTCCTGGGATTCCCAGCCTGCACCTCCCAGTCTCGCCACAAGGGGGTGCCCAAAGCTAAGCCGCAATGAGCAGGTGCTGGGGGAATTAGGCCTGGAGTAGTGGCTTGCTAGCTGATGGGAACCCATCGACCCCTCTTTTTTTCCTTTTCCAGGGCTACTACTACCTGTACCGGGGCAGCAGAGCCTGCGGGATGAACACCATGTGCAGCTCAGCTGTGGTGGACTAGACACTGCAGGACCTCCCCCACCCCACCTCCCTGTGAATCCCCTCCTCTGTGTCTCACTACACTGCCCCGGCCCCCAGCACCAGCCGTGCTAGGGCCCGCTAGCTTCCCTAGAGCATGGGAGAGGGACTTGAGAAGGGGGAAGGGCCCTGGCTAAGCTGGGGGAGATGCCACAGTGTGGAAACGCAAAGGGGCTGCGGAGTGACTTGACTTGGGGCTGGCTGATCAGCAGGATGGGGGAGGCTGGGCCATGCCGGCAGGGGGCGCTCATGCATGCATTTTGAGCCCAAAAGGGAGCCCTGGTCTGCCCCCTGCCCTGGAGAATGCCACCCAGAAAGAGCTGCAGAATTTGTCCTTATGGGCCATCTCCCAGGGCTGCATCTTTGCAAGATCTCCCACTGCTGAGGCTCCTGGCTCCCCCCGCCAGCTGAGGTCAGTGGGACAGACTTCGTGGGGTGAAAGGCCACCTAGAGTGGGATGCTGGCGGCACTGGAGCTGCTGCCCAATCTATGCTCCAGTCCCTTGGGCCTCCTCCAGCCATGGGTTTGTGCAATACCCTGGAACGACGTGCTGCTCATCTCGTGTTCCTCCCCCGCCCCGCTGAGCTGGAACCAGGGGTCCTGGCTCCCAGCACCAGGGCTGCTTTTCAACCCACACTCCGTAGGCAGCTCGCTGTCTCCTGGCAGAGAAACGATCCCACCCCCCGGGTTTGCTTCCGTTGGTGGATTCAACACAGTCCCTGCCAGCTGTGCCTGTTCCCATCAGGCCGGGGGGGCACTTCACTAATTTCAATCCCTGGCCCTAATTCTGATACGCTGCCCCTAGCTGGAGCTGCTGCTTCTCTCTGGAACAGGGGCTGGGCCTGCTGGTTTCCATTTTTCTACCCTGCCTGGCTGGGTCTATTACAGGGAATCACTAATGATTAGCCTAAAGATGGGGCATTAAGCCCATGAAACTGACCAGCCTCTAGATTCCGCACCCCTCCCCCCCAAAACCATTTTTGCTCCCATCTCATGTCTTGGGGCAAGGGTTTCCAAAGCTTCACTTTTGGGGGTGGGAGCTTGAAGGAGCCTGGGTTTACAAAGGGCAGGCCCTTGGGTCACACCCCCGCCCAGATGTGGCTTTTGGAAAACAGGAATTGCGGTGCCCCAGATTCTCCTGGCTTTCAGGGAAATGCAGGCTGCTTTGAAGGATCGGAGACTAGACTGCAGGATACAGCCAGGTTCAGCCCTAGACCAAGTGATGCCTCCGGTGAGGAGCGGCTTCGGTGACCCCCCTCCATTTGTTAAACTTTTGAAGACCTTACAGCACCCCAAGCCCAGCACCCCAGGCAGTTGCCTGCCCTTAAATCCAGCCCTGGGTACAGCCAGCTACTGTTTAGGTGGGATTTCCTCCCCTGGCTCTCCATGGGCTCTCCTTACACTGCCAGGTGGGCAGTCCTCCCTCTGGGCTCCCCTTACAGGGCAGAGCGGAAGAAAAGCTCCCTTATATTCCAGGGCTCAGCCCTGGCACCAGTTCACATGTGAGCAGGGCTGGCCAGCCAGGGAAGCTCTCTTGGAGGCAGCAGTTCTCTGGGAGGTTGGGGGAAGGCAGCTTGGAGCACTGCATGCTGGGAGTTGTAGTCCACCCACATCACACATGCTCTGTATTTTTCAGCCACTCTGGTGTTGTAATTTGTCTCTGAGCTATGAGAATCCAGCTATCCTTTAATGCCAAACTGGCTTTCCCAGGCTCCCAGACAGGGACGTTAATATCCTCTCTGGAGCTGGTCAGAAAATATTTGTTTTTTTTTTTAGTTGAAAGATGTGATTTTTTTTTTTTCAAAGAATGAAAAAAAAAAAAAAAAATTGATTCTGCCAAGCTGGGCTCCTTGGTCAGACTACATCTCCCATGATGCATTATAGTCTCCCCTCTTGCTGGCTAGCCCCAATGCCTCATGGGAGTTGTAGTTTAGGTGCTTCCTGTGCCCATTCTCCTCTATAGGCTGGGATCCTTACTCAGACTAACCTCCCATGGTACGCTGTGCTCTCCCCTTTTGGGGAGGCAAAGGTGGTGTATCATGGGAGATGTAGTCTGGGGAGCACCATCCATATAGGAGAATAGGGACATGAGTCAACTGAACTACACTCCACTGTGGCATTGTGGTAGCCTGTGGGAACTGAAATATTTAATTGCCAAACTATTTTGATTGCCGGGTGTTTGGGGTTTTTTTGACACAGAAACAAAAAAAATGTAGATTTTTTCCACCAAAACCGGATAGTTTTCACAAAATATTCCTTTAGGTGAAAACGTAATTTCCTGCAGGAAAAACAGGTGGGTCAGACCATTTTTGCCCAGCCTATATGCTGCCTCCACTGCAGCCGTGTCACTTCCCATGCAGGGGGTGGGCAGGTGCAGTCTACACCTGACCTCCTGGCTTCTGCTTCCAGCTCTGCTGCTCCCATGCTGTGTGGTCTGTGGGCAAGTCCCTTCTCCTTAGCTGTACAGCAAACAGGGGCTATTCCCCCCTCCTCAGCAAACAGGGGCTATACTCCTCCCCCACAGTGGGGTGCAAATTCATATAGGAAGCCCTTTGCTCAGGCAAAGTGTTATTGTCAGAGTAGGTGATCAAAGTTGGGGAGGATGGGGGGGAAGCCCTGTGGCTCCCTATATCTCCTCCCCCCCCCCCCCAAGCACTAGTGTAAGTCCACGGTGGGAGATGGTTGAGTAGGCCTAGCTGTGATCTCGCTGCTAAAACCATTCTGTTACATTCGATTCTTTCTGTTTTGCAAAGCCGCACGTAGCACAGGTTGGGGGCTCTGAACTAACGCTGCTAGAGGCTCGCTGCAGTATTTCCCCTCACGGGGCTCCTTGGTCAAACGCACTTTGAAAGTGGATTTGCACAAGGCAAGGGGGCAGTAGCCTTTTGTGATCCTGCTTTACGCCTGCCCGGAGAGGATCTAGTCCTTCCAGTGTGTTACTGAGTGACTGGGGTTTTAGTGCCATACGTTACCGCAGCACCAGCCCAGATCTCTCCTAAGCAATAAAGAAAAGCCTGGTTGTTGGGTTTTTTCCTCTCCGCTCTGGAAACTCAGGACTTAATTAGCTGATCCGGGTTCCTGGCTCAAGGACTGAAATGGCACAGAAAGGGGGCTGGAGCTCTGATCCTTTGAGGAACCTCTGCTTAAAAGAATGGGCACTTGTCCCTAGTAGACTACAGCAAGGAAGCTGTATGTACAGGTAGGAGGAAAGTTCAGCACACCATGGCCTACCTCCCCGGCGTGGGAGGAGCAATGGGCTAAGGTTTGTTAAGCACTTTGCTTTTGGAGGATGCTGTTACAAGCGGAGGAGCAAGGAGGGGGGTGAGGTTTTTTGGGGGCAAAGTTGGATTTTCCCCTTTGTCATTTGCATGGAGAAAAATTCTGCAGGTTCTTGTAACAGAAAAATGTGAAGGGCTGTTCTGTGGGAGGGAGGGCAGGCTGGGCTTGCCACAGAGCAGTGGTAGCAGGAGCTCAGAGCGATGCTGTAGGGTTTGATGTTCCTTGATCTGTGTTCTACACAAATAATAAATGATGAACCTGGTGCCTGAGCTGCATTTTCTCTCTGGGGCCGGAGACGCTCCTCCTCCCCCAACAAAGGGGTGCTGCTTTGCAGCTTAAAAGTGGAATTTCCATGGGTAAGGAGGAAGTGAAATGAAATTGAGGGCACTTCCCTCCCTTCGACTCCTCAGCTATGCTCACCCCGTTAGTTCCAAGATCTGGTTCTCTGCCTGCTTTTATAGAGTCATAAACTGTGAGGCCAGCAGGGCCCACTGTGATCACCCAGTCTGACCTCCTGCGTCACAAGCCCTAGGACTGCCCTGAAGTGATTC